GTTAATGCTCCTTTCGCTGGTTGCCAACCACCATTAAATAACAACAAGAAGAAAATATTGATCTGCTTCTCTTAGTTTTGCACGTTTAAGCCGCAAGTCAGACTCAAACAAAGCTGCAAAGCAGGAGAACAACATGGCCATATTCTGTGCCACAGATCCAGTTTGCTGCAGCACAGAGTAATGATGAGACCGTTAACATGTGCAACTTAGAAGTAGTCAGAGGTAACTGGATGTTCAATCAGGTTAAATGGAAGGTTGATTGGATTACATCTGAAGATCGTATGCTATTCGTGACAACTATGCTAGACTCCAAATTGCTCGTCCATGCGGGATTATCTCAAATTAAATGAAACCACTAAACACTTTTCCCCCAAAAAGGACTGATATGGGACACATTAAAGTTGGATTGACACCAGCTAATCAGTCTGAAGGTAAGTGTTTTTTCTGAAATGCGTTCTTATTACTGTTTGTTTTGACTTTTAAGCTACCCTACCAGGATATTTTCTTTCAAATGCTAAGACAAAATCTCAATATCTATGAATGTGGAGACTCAAAAGACTAGTTAGTTAATAGTTGCCGATGGATTTATGAGACTTGATAGAAACTTGGACGTTTGCAACAGGTGAATTAGTGAACTACCGAGGTTGCCCCCAAATGCTTAAAGCTGTTAGCTGGTCAGTGTTTTCAGGTGTGCTTGTACTACCTGTACGGTGCAGAGTGCTGACTAAGTCATGTTAAACCCATTAAAGCGTCGAGCTCAAATATCTTTTCATTTTTGTGCACTGCTCTCTTGTCGGCACACATTTTCTGTTTATTGAAGCCTTTTGTGAATAATTTTGATCATGTAAAAACTGGGAATTGGTCCCTATTGACAATACTCTTATTTTTTTATTTTTTGCATTGCATATGTCATTTAGGAAAGGTAATTGATCACTGAACTTTTTGCAACTATGTGTATTTGTAAATTTTGTGGCTTCCATGCACGCAAATTTATATTGTTCAGTTTGTATGTTAAAAGCCACAAACATGTCTTGTGGAACTGACAACTGTCCTGCCACTTTCAGAACATTTTCTGCTGTTCATATAGATATGCATAGGAATCACAGAACAAGAAGGGAGACCACTGAGGAGAAGTTCCATAAGTTCACTGGTGACCTCAGCTGTCAAGTTCCTGGATGTGGGTATGCTGCACAAAACTTCACAACTCTTTGTGCCCATCTCAGATTTCATATCAAAGATGGGGAAAAAATGTTATGTCCATTTGAAGGTTGCTCTAAATACTTCAGTGTCCAAACATCATTTTTCAGCCATATTTCTCAAAAACATAAGTAGACAGTTCAGCAGTCAAGACCACAAGAAATTGTGGAATTTGCCATAATACAAGGACAGGACACAGTTAATCTATTAGAAGACAGTTGACTTTGTGTCATTTAAAAATGCAGGCTAAAATGCTCTTGCCAACCAGCACTATACAGAGCATCATAGAGGAATTTCAGGATCTTTGCAGCTGTGCAATGCACAAAACAAAAGTAGACACTGAATCTAACACCATTAACTTTTCATTGGTAATGGTAGGACTAAGGGTGGAAATTGTGACAAACTGTAAAATATACTGTATTTTTCGATGTATTTTTCAACTTTTCAAGACCTTGAGTTTGTAGTTCTTTTGCAGTCCTGGGATTGATTTTCATCTTCAGACAAGGTCCCCAAAACTGCCTTTCTGTTAGTACTCAATCCTAATTGCAGGGTTCATCTTTTAGTGAGGACATATTTGTTGAAATAGCCATATAAAGTTGCTTTTCCAATTATCTCTCTTTCTTATTTTTAGATGGCAACAGACCAAAGAACCTGAATGTCACCATTGCTGTGGAGCTTGGGAAAGATTTCCACTCCAACTGTTGCATGCAATCACAAGAGGAGACAGAGCTCATCCAGAGGACAGTTGTGGAGGCCATGCAAGTTCACTGCAGAAACCCTAAACGTGCATCTTTTGAAGAGGTTGCTAAGATCATTGTAAACAGATACCCTCAAACATTTGCAGATTTTACTGAAAAGGGAGAAAGACTGGGTTGTGGACATTATTCACTACTAAGAAGCATCAAATCTAGAGTTGAACATGTTAATCGAGATAACATGTTCAGTGAAACTTAGTGAAACAAAGAGAACCAGGAATGATGAAGACTGCAGTCCCAACAGTAATGCAACCTCCCCTAAAAAAGTTAGATGCCTTGTTGATAGCTATGGTTATATTAATTGGCAGCCAGTTGAATTTCCTGAGGGGGAAATGCCAGCTTCTTTAGAGAAAAAGAAACACATCCTGTTAACAATTTTCAATTCACAAGGACCTGGAGCTGTGGAGAGACCTGATGTGGATGACTACATGTGCCTCACATATATTTCTCAGTGCCAGCTTATCAACAGATGTCGCTTACTTTCAGTAGCTGAAATTCAGGAGCAGTGGCCATTCTTGTTTACTCGGAAAGGTCTTTCGAACCACTTTCACAAACTCACAGGTATTGATATCAGTGAGCGCTTAAGTCAGGCCCTCATAACCAAAGGCAGAAGGATTATTAACTATTTCTCAAGCCAGAAGCTCAAATGGAACCTTGGTATAAGGACACTTATCCAGCAGATAGAAAGTGAGGGAGTTTTGACCAACAAGGTTGGCACAGCAGCCATACTTCTCATGATGAAGTATTACAAGGAAGATGAAGACTCCCTCTTTGTCAAGCTTTTTTTCATACAGCTCTATGTTTAATGCTGTTGCTTGCTGTCCTGTTTTTTGTTTTTTGTTTTGTTACATAAAAGGTCTTGGTCCTCTTTCTGGCAGGAAACATCTACTAGGATGCCCCTTGAAGCAGAGAGCAACCTGTCAAGCACCCCAAGGCTGATTATGCTTGGTAAGAAGTCATTCATGAAATAGAGCTGATTAGACCATATTAAAATTTCTGTTGGGCACAGGAGCTTTTCGTGGACACAGGTATCCAGTCTCTGTTTTGTTAGCTCAAATTTCTGTAATTTTCTTTAAAAACCAAGGTTGTTGGATATGTGTCTCAGTGAATCCAGCAAAGTAACAATATCAAATTTCACTTTACATATTACTGATCAACATAGTAGTCTAGCTACATTAACAGCAGAAACACTGAAGTCAATACTATAAAGTTTAACAGCAGACAAACTATAAACTCCAAAATAACCATACAGTTGATTCATCTCCAGTAATTTAATTGGGCTGACTCTTTGTTAGGTGTGTTTAATGGGCAGAATAATTCCCAATTATGTACAGTTATAATATGTTAAAACAGACTTATGTACATAAGCCCATTAATAATTAACTGTACGCAGCTATTTGCTTTATGACTATCTAGACAGTGTGAAGAAGTGAAGTATTGAAATTATTTTATGTTGCCCCTATACATTTAAGGACAACGTTTAATGACCGCCAACTGCTGGATGGTGAGTGCAGAGGGGCGTGTAATTGTTGAGCTGGACAAAGAGAACATCTGTGCTGATGCAATGTCAGTCTTCTTTGGTTCATTCTATGTATTGAACCTGGAATACCAGGAGTCAGCGTGTGCAACATTGGAACTAATTCAGAGGTATGTTTGAACAGTTAGCTAATAGTGATAGATGATGAATAAATTATCCCTAAGTAACTCATTATTTCAAATCACAACTCAGTGTTACTGTATGTTACTATTTATTATGGCATGTTTTAAGGTTTTTTGTAAGGATAAACCCTGAAGAGGGAACAAAATGTACCTCCAAGGTTAGGACAAGCAGAAAGACTGGGACCACTGTGAAGCGAAAGGTTGTTCACATTAACCCCCATGCCACAACTTTCCTCCAGCGGCTTACTGAATTTGAGTGGAGAACTTCAAATGAAAACTGTTTTTGCCATTTATAGTGCATTTCTTGTATAATTTAAGTGACCAATGTGTTGTTACCTGTGTCTCCACAGATGATCCATGGCCCATGCTTTCTGGACATTTACACAAGACGAACAACAATGAAGACAAGCTCTCTTGCCATCTTGCAAGACGCTGTCTCTGTCCAATAGGTTTT